TCTTGAAGCCAACCATGAAATGTCTGAAGATCTGCTTGTAACTGACTATTAATAGATTCAATATTGAAATCAGACAAAAAATAACAGTATCATCAGCATACATTAAAATATTTGAATACTTCAATATTTTTGGAAGGTATATGTATAATAGGAAAAGCAATTTGGAATCTAGTCACAAATTTTGTTTACATAAAGGATACATTAATTATCAATGAGGAAAAAAAGTTGGTAGTCTTGTTTTAACATTTTTACAGATATGTGTGARGTCACAATGTGTCGCTTTACCCCAAACCTGTATTTTTACACTGTAATTCCAGAGGTCTGTTCAAAGGTTCCCCTCTCTGGTACCTCTGTTGTCCCATAGTTGATAACAAAAGATGCTTGGCTTTTAAAACAAATGAAAAATATACTGATTTACAGGGCATGCATCTTGACGGGAAACATAAATACCTTTCTGTGATTCCCTCCTTCATCAGTCTTCTTCCACCCTCCATTCTTTTGCAAACACACTTGCACTATCAGTGAAAACCCTCTGTGCCCTTTGGAGTCTATTTACTTTCTGTTAATCACTTCAAATGAAGAGGACATGTCCCCACCTAGTAAATCCATAACTAATTCGTCCTTGCTCTCCTGCAGCTGTGATAAATCAGAGGTTGTGTGTAAAGCAATCAGAMGGTTGAACTCCTGGATCTTGCCGGATCTCAGAGGTTAATAAAATCCCACCTGATTACGCACGAGCAAAAGGATTAAAGGGTTCATGGGAGCAGATTCCACAGTGCAAATAAACAAAATATATATATATTGTTCTTTTTTTCACAGACACGTTCTTCTAGGTACTTCAGGTGAGAGAGGCCACATCTCATCTCACCTYTAATAAAGACAGGGGATAAACAAAAACTTGAGCGGCTGCTGAAAACACTCACTGTCGTTTAATTTCCTTTTTCTCAAAGCATCCCCAGAACGCAGCTCGCAAAATATTTTTAGATGTTTTCTCCCATTTTCTATGGGATGTGCCGTATTTGTGAATACCATAGTGTCTGAACTCTTGTTTCTTCGCACAATGGCTGCTGGACATGAGCACCAGCGACCCAGAAAGGAAGAAGCTGGCAAAGATAARGGATGCATGGATGGATGCTGTAATTTCGGTAACCAGGAAAATATCAAGGTTGTGTCTCACACGTTTAAACATCCAGTTTAATAATCAGTTCAGACAGAGGTTGGGAGATCTAACCCTAAACGAAACAAGAGTATTTTTAATTTTAATTGTAAAATTAAACAGATGGACCGGTGCACAGCTGTGAACACGAGGCAGCATTTAAACACAGCTCTTTTCTCCCACTGATGGAGAAACATGTACAAAATGTTAGCTGCAAAAGTATTCAATTTTTAATCTGATTATACAYCAAGTAATAATTCTAAGCAGATACTCCAGATTAGCAAGGTTAAATAGAGAAAACTTGTTTAATYTTTCTAAAAATATATATTATTGAAAAAGTGGTGTGTGCATGTTTTTACTCCTTTTTGCTTTAAACCACCAACCGTTATGTTTCAGAAAAACTGATTCATTCATACTGTTGCTTTAAAAAATACTCTTTTTGACATCTGCTTCAACATATTTTCTATTTTTTGTTTGTTTTTTATGCAACTTTTAGGGGTTTTTCTGTTGTTTTTTTACCATTCTGCTTTTTTGCTTTTAACTAGCCTTTGGCTACTTCTGACTTTAAGCCATCCATTTGCTCTAGTCTAGCTTTAARCATATTTAGTTACCTTTGTTGCTGCCTTTAGCAAGCCTTTTGACACTTGTTGCTCTTAGCATGCATGTTGCTACTTTTAGCTATCCTTTTGATACTTTTAGCTTTTATTGATCTTTTTCCTGCTAGCTTTACGCTACTTTATCTTTAATGTAGCATTTTGCAAGTTTTAAGTAATGGTTTGCTTTTATCTAGTTTTTTTTTTTCTGATTTTTAACTTTTAGTCGAMAGCTATCTTTGCCTCAAGTGGAGGAGTTTAAGTATCTGGGTGTCTTGTGCACGAGTGATGGTAGGATGGAGCGAGAGATGGATCTACAGATTGGGGCCTCGTCCTCAGTAATGAGGGCGTTGATTCGGTCGGTCGTGGTGAAGTAAGAGTTGAGTCGAAAGGCAAGGCTCTTGATTTACTGGTCTGTCTGMTCCAAKCCTCACCTATGGTCAMGAGGCGTGGGTCATGACCAWAWGAYCAAGATCCCAGATACAAATGGCCAAAATGAGCTTCCTTRGTAGGACYGCAGGGCTCCGCCTTAGATATAGGGGGAGTAGCTCTGTCATCCAGGGGAAYCTCAGAGTAGAGACGCTGATCCTCCTTYTCAAAGTCAGTTGAGGTGGTTCTGATTAGGATTYGGATGACCAGAAAATGTTAWTCTCTTGTTAATTAAATATTGTATGTTCCACGCTGCTTGATTGATAAATGATATTGTAATTTTAGTTTRACAAATGTATTTTTAAACAAAAATACTCCCCTGTTCTCAGCAGATTCAGTGTTCCACACGATTCCTGAATTGGATCGTGCAAGATCTGCTGGCAGTGGTCGTTCAGCTAAAACCAGCAGAACGTTTGTTTGTTTGTTTGTTTGTTTTGTTGTGCTGCCTACAGAACTGATCTCTGCCAACCTAATATGCTTAATCTACTGAGGAATACTGCATTGACCTGTCTCACCCCAATCTCTGCAAATATGTAAAAAAAAAATGGAGAGAATGAATCACCAAAATATCATTTTAGGTTGCTAATATAAGAGTCCAAATAGATGAAACACAGAACAAAACACAGTAAGCTAAGTCCTTTAGTGGGAACTATTTTTTTGAGTGAATTATATTTTTAAGACTCGCATCACTCCCACTTGTTCTTATGAACCAGCTGTGCCTGGAGTCGAAGTGATAAAATGTTCTTTAAAAGAGTTGTGTCGTTTTTTTTCTATTAGAATTTAAAACTGAAGACTCTATCCACATACAGCTAAAGGAATCTATACATAGAAATTTGTAAGGGCTTTGATCTTTGTTTCTGTCAGATACATTTTTTTTGTTTGTTTGTTTGTTTGTTTTAGCCCAAGATATGCAGCCTGATGATGCAACTTTAGTGGAATCTGAATATCGGTACTGTCTTTTTTTCTGCTTGTTTTATATCTGCAGTCTGGTCTGAGCATATTTCTGTGTATTCACGCATTTAATCTTCAGAGGTAAAAACACACACACAAGAAGCTTGGCACTGTAGCAGCCCACAGGACACAGCTGAAATAGATTGCATTCAGAAGCTTTGTATTATAACCCCCCCCCACCCCCAAAATAAACCAACAAGAAAATCCTACACATAAACACACCACCTTTTCCTCCCCAACTCTTACACACACGCCCACTTTCCTCTTTTCTGTCTCTCATTACATCATGAAGCAAAAAGGGAAAAAAATAGAGACTGAATAAAAACTGGATTTGAAAAGCAGCTGAAAACAAAGTGCTGTGAAATAAATGGATATCTGCCCACTGTGAGATAAAACAACACCAACTGATGTCATTTAAAACAGGAACAGTTCATCAAGGATGTGCGTTTTCTCGCCGTGTGATACTCTTTAATTTTTTTTAAAGCAGTTAAAGTCTAGTTGAAATAACTCTTTCATCTTTACGTCATTTCAAATGGGTTCACAGCGACTGCCGACCTGAACACGCTCAATTAACAACTTTTTGCTGACACGCACACACCTCCATCCCAGCCTTCAATATGCTCCTCAAAGCTGCACACATGGTTCACAACAAGCCGTGATGAGCTGGAAACATCTCCTGGGGAAATTTAAAAAAAAAAAAAGAAAAAACTTACGGAGGTTTGCGGTCCTGGAAACAAAGTGCTGCGAATGCATCCCTAYGGCCTCCTCACCGCGGTACTGCTCACCTGGACGCCCGCCCTGCAGCATGCTGGCGACGGCCCTGTCAGACAAGGACYAGCGGAGAGGTGAAAACATGAAGAGAAATACAGAACAGCTGATTAAAGCACAGAAGCACCGCTGGCGTTCTTCTCATTTCTGTCACGATCCTTGATTTGCAGCTTTAGAAGTGACATGAAAACGCTCGACTGGGRGTGGTGTGTTCTGACTTTTGGTTGCTCCGTTATAAGACATTGATGAAATTTGCTAAGATGGCAAATGGCCTGCACTTCTATTTCACCTTATCAAGTCCTCCAAGTCTGTTTACACTAAAATCAGACATTCACACACTGACYGTGGTGAGCTACATTGTAGCCACAGCTGCCATAGGGCACACTGACAGAGATGAGGCCACCATGCAAGGGTGTCACRGGACTCTCTGACCACCACCAGCAGGAAGGCAGCTGAAAGGACACAATGGSTGAGACGAATGGAGCAGGGGTTGGATTCATCGACCAACTGGTTACAGGACAACTGTCCTAACCACTCTGCCACAGCCGCCCAAATACAAAACCGTCTGTTTTCTTCTGCTTATCTGGGGTCGGGTCGCGGGGACAGCAGCCTAAGACCCAGACTTCCCTCTCCCCAGCCACTTGGACCAGCTCATCCAGAGGAATCCCAAGAGGTTTCCAGGCCAGCTGAGAGACATAGTCCCTCCAGTGTGTCCTGGGTCTTCCTCTGGGTCTCCTCCCAGTGGGACATGCCCGGAACACCTCACCAGGAAGGCGTCCAGGAGGCATCCTAACCAGATGCCTGAGAKACCTCAACTGATTCCTCTCGACGTGGAGGAGCAGCGGCTCTACTCTGAGTCCCTCCAGGATGACCGAGCTTCTCACCCTATCTCTAAGGGAGAGCCCAGACACCCTGCYGAGGAAACTCATTTRAGCCWCTTGTATCTACGATCTCGTTCTTTTGGTCTCTACCCAAAAGCTTGTGACCAMAGATGAGGGTAGGAYCGTWGACCGACACGTAAATTAAGAGCTTCYCCTTCTGGCTCAGCTCTCYTAATACAAATYTGATACAAAYCCCAAATCGAATATATAAAAAAACCACCACATACARAAAACAAGAGAGATGTTTGGAGCTCTGTCAAAGTTTGAACTTCACAAAAAAGTTAGACTTCACATGTCTAACCTGGCATTTTAATATCTTGTTTTCACACAATTACAGTTGAAGGATTTTTTAAAAGGATTCTACGTCCTCCAGAACGTTCAGCTCCAGCTGGTGATGATAACACATGCTAGCTTTGGAGCCGTTTCAATTTTTTTTCAAACAGTTTTTTCTCCCTTAAGACAGTTTATACGTTGTAGGTATATTTGTGTCATTTAACTCCATGTCGCTCACTCYCTAAACAAATTACAAATTTTCTCTTAAAACCTTTCCAAGTGTAGAGTTTACCCATCCAAACTCAGCTCAGAATTTTCTTTTCGAGTGACAGTGAGGAGACTTTTAAATCTTGTCATCTCTCCCACCCAAAGCTGGACCCACATAAAAATGGAGGGTGTGAGAACCAATTCTGCCACGTAGAGCTAAAGAAATAGTCACGCATATCTCGTAGMTTTTGCACAGACTGGCTAAGGTTTACTTTACTTTAAGGTCTGCCCGCTTGGGAGTGACAGACACAAGTGTGTGGTTACCATGGTGACTAATGAGCCACTGGCAGCTTTRGATCATGGCTCTCTTCACACTTTTTAAAGTCTTATATGTGGTACATTATTGTTTGATATTGCCATCAAAATTGCATTGTGGTATGCTGTTACCGTAACAATAAGTGTGTTAATATTTTGTGCATGTTTATACTTTAATGCAGGATTTTGTCTGGTTAGATTATTACAAAAGTAAGACCCTAAATTTGAGGGGTTTATGATTTTGGTATTTTAGGCAGCGGCTACAGTGGCACCCTTCAAGATGTCTTGAATAATCAAGCTGCAGCTACATGTTGTGCTGGGATCCTTCTACAAATAAAAGAGATTTGATTTGTTTTTGCACACTTTGAAGGAGAGCAATGATACTAACCCACCACCAACACTACCCATGGGGCGCACCTCTGCCAACGGAAGATGACCTGCTGTTGCTTCTCCACTATAAACTATAAACTATAAACTATAAGCATGAGTCAGAAGATGTCAGAAGTTAGTTGCCTAGAAACCACAGCCCGTGTGTGAAAGAGAGATGGGTTTAATGCAGAGGTGCACATGACCGGTGCGCAGGGCGCTTGCGCTGTCAAAAAAGGAAGAAGCGCACCAAATGGGARGTCGTAAAGCTCTCTTGCGTACCTAAGATTGTACCCYATTGTCTGTCAAAACAACAGCTAGAAGTGCTCTAGAGTGCGACCAGTGTGGTTGCAAACACGACCTGATTTCTTAAAAAATAAATAAATAAAAAACATCCAGCAGCACTGGTGTGAATGGATCGTTGTTCGGTGCCCCACAGCCGGTCCCTGATACGGCATAAGGATTGAATGGACACTGCCTTCAACAAATCAGATGAAGTCCAGAGTCGTTTTGTCCAATCAGAGCAGAGCAGGGRGGGACTTTCAGTGAGAGCAGTTTGGTTGAAGCAGCGGGCCGGCTTGACTCGATCAGCGATCAGTCACATCTCCTCCTGCACTTTGCTCCTGAACTACCAGAGACTTTGGTCTGTAAAACCTAACTTTATATTAAATATGTTCAGAATGTTGTTATTGAACAGATCTGTCCAACTCTGTGTGAGTGACTAAACTCTCCTCCTGAGAGACTGCTGTACGAGAGCGTGCTGCGCACTCAGGCTGTCTGTGAGATTCACTGAGTTCTTCTAATTAAACCACATTAATTAACAGAACATT